CGGGACGGAGCTCGAGCCCCGAAACCCAGCGCGGGCGCGCCCCCGGTGGAAGGCTCTGGAGCAGGCGGCGCTCGAGGCGGGTGGGGCGGGATCCACCAGGGCTTTGCTACAACTCGCTCAGGGGGCGCAGTGGGAATTCCCGGTCTCTGGCCAGTGCGCCTGCCATGGCACTGAAAAGAACCAGAAACGCTGCCTGGCGGTGTATGTGAATTGACTTAAGAACCTTGGAGAACGGACAAGAAAACAAATGGTCAGGTCAAACTCTAAGTGAAGGCAAGAATGTAAGGCAAGAACAGATTCAATGACCAAGGTAAAGAAAAGTATGTTATTGAATCGAATTCAGAAGCCAATAACAGCAGCAAAATCTAACTCCGCTACTTAAAAAGAGGCACCTGAAACACCATCTTACGGAAGCGCTGCATTTTCAGAGTCCGAAAAAGATGCTCTGTGCAGAAACTGCAACAAGAAGCTGCTGGAATCATCTCGAAACAGGCGAAAGGCTTTAGGCAAAAGCGGTAACAGCAGTAAGAGGGGTCATGTCATGACCAGATGTCTAGTCTTCCAGGAAGAGATGATGATTTTAAATCCATGTGTGTCCAATGACACAGCCACGCGATAAATAAAGCAAAGATCGACAAACGAGGAGAGAGCGCCAAAATTTCTAGGGGAAAATTTTAACACATTTCTGTCAGGAACGGGTAACGAAACCAGATAAAGTAAACCATTAACGACATAACATTTAAACGACCTCATTAACGAGCTGAACCTTATGGACAGACATAGAACATAAGCAACGGCCATGGAATTTTAAGTGCTCCGCCGAAGCATGCAGAGCGTTTACAGAAACCATTTGAGGACTAAACGCAGACAAAGCTTGTTCTCTGACCGAAAGCAATTGGCCCACATTAATAACAAATAGAGAATTACAATTCATCTCATTTTGGGAAAAAAAAGACACCTGCTTGTTAATAACCCATGGGTCGAAGAAAAAAATCACAATGGGAATTATAATGTTTGAACTGAGTATACTGAAAATATCACATGCCAGGCCGAGTGCTGCTGAACTACTATGGACTGAGTTTGTCAGGGCAGATGTTAGGGACGAAAACCGGCTGAAAACAAATGTGGTCAACATCCAGTTCAAGAAGTTACAGAAAGAACTGGAAAATAAACCCAAAGAAAGTAGAAGAGATGGAAAAAGATTAGAAACGGGTGCAAGGAAGACAAAGACGTGATCGCGACAGCCCTCAAAGCCGAAAGTTCGTACTTTTTAAAAAGATTTATAAACTTGACAAATCTTTAATGGAGCTGATAAATAGAAAGAGAAGGAACAAATAATCCGTATCAGAACAGAAGGGTCTGTAACCACATGTGCTACGGACGTTAAAAAAGAAAGTCACGAGAAACTTTATCCAACAAATTTCCCAATTTAGACGATGGACGGATTATCAGAAAAATATCACTAACCAAAATTGCTTCAAGAAAAAAAAAATGGAGACCTTGAAAAGTCCCGTAGGCATAAGAGAAATGTAATCAACTGTCAAATACTTCTCCACAAAGAAAAATGCAGGCTCACACGCTACCCCATCAAGTGCTACGAAACACCTGGGGTTCGAAGCGCTCTC